ATTTATTGTAGAGATGAGGGCTCGCCAAGTTGCCCAGGCAGGTCTCGAACCCGCAGACTCAGGCAATCCACTCACCTCAGTCTCCCAAATCGCGGGATTACAGGCTGAGCCACCGAGCCCAGCTTCTTTCTAATTTCTAAATAAACTATATTTTCCAATCTGGAAAAGAAAATTAGCCAGGCATGGTGGCTCATGCCTGTAGTTCCAGCTACTTGGGAGGCTGAGGCAGAAGGATCACCTCAGCCCACCAGGTCGAGGCTGCGGTGGCCGTGAGCATGCCTCTGCACTCCAGCCGGGATGTCAGAGTGAGACTCTGACTCAAAAAAAAAAAAAAGTTTAGCATTGTGTCTGGCACTTAGCCCTCAACACATGTCCACTGCTATCATTGTCATCCAGAGGACAAGCCCCAGGAATAAAAAAACTAGGAACAGCCGAGCTTGGTGGCTCTGCCTGTAATCTCAGCACTTTGGGAGGCCGAGGCAAGTGGATTGCCTGAGCCCGCAGATTCAAGACCAGCTCAGGAAACTTGGCGAGACCTTGTCTCTACAATAAATAAAAATTTAGTCAGGGGTGGTAGTGCACCTGTAGTTCTGGCTACTTGGAAGGCCTAGGCGAAAGGATCACTGGAGTCCAGCAGGTTGACACTGGGATGGCTGTGAGTATGCTGAGCCCTGGGAGGTACCTGTGGGACAGAAGTCTCCTCACCTGCCCCACATCTCTGTCCCTACTTTCCATCTATTCTTTCAGCCATTTATTTATTTATTTATTTATTTTAGTTGGAGTCTCACTGTCGCCCAGACTGGAGTGCAGTGGCCGCTCCCGGCCACCGCAGCCTCGACCTGCTGGGTCCGGCAATTCTTCCACCTCAGCCTTCCAAGTAGCTGGAACTACAGGCGCGCGCTACCACGCCGGGCTAATTTTTTATTGTAGAGATGAGGTCTCGCCAAGTTGCCCAGGTGGGTCTCAAACCCGCGGGCTCAGGTAATCCACTCACTTCAGCCTCCCAAAGGCACGGGATTACAGGCTGAGCCACCGAGCCCGGCTCAGCCATTTATTTAGCACCGTCTATGTACAAAACCTGGTGCTGGATGCTATGGAATATTCTAAGAAGAGTAGCAATTCCCTGTCCTCAGGGAGCTCATAATTTTCAGACCCATCCCAGGTGAGGGCAGAACTTTCCAATTACCTGGTCTCAAAAGAAATCAGTATGGGGTGCAAATCAGAAACATTTGTGTTTCAAGGAGGACATTTTATTTGGGGAGAGTGGACTTCTGCTCGGGCCCTCCCCATCCCAGTCAGCAGGCTTCACTTCTTCCGGATCTCCAGGGCCTCCTCCTTCTTGATTTCCTTAGCCAGCTCCCCAATCAGCCTCCAGTACTCGTTGAACTTGAGTTCAGAGTCCTGATTCACATCTAAGTTCTTCATCTTCTCATCTAGACTGCCCACATCCTGGGGAGACACCAAAGGAAACAGTAGTTAGAAAACAGGGTTCTCTCAGGGCTCAGTGGCTCACGCCTGTAATCCCGGCACTTTGGGAGGCAGAGGCCAGAGGACTGTCTGAGCTCAGGAGTTCGAGACCAGCCTGAGCAACATGGTGAGACCTCGTCTCTATAATAAATCAAAAAATTATCCAGGTGTGGTAGCACATGCCTATAGTTCCAGCTACTTGGAAGGCTGAGGTGGAGGGATTGCCTGAGCCCAGCAGGTGTAGGCTATGGTGGCCATGAGCATGCTACTGCACTCCAGCCTGGACAACAGAGTGAGACTCCAACTCAAAATAAAGAAAATGGGGTTCTTGAGACAGAGAGAGAAGGAAGAACTGCCAGCTGCTGTTCTCTGAAGGTCCTGCCCTCAGACAGCATTTAATCTGAAGGACAGCCGCGTTCGGTGGCTCAGTCTGTAATCCCATGCCTTTGGGAGGCTGAGGTGAGTGGATTGCCTGAGCCCGCGGGTTCGAGACCCGCCTGGGCAGGCGAGACCTCATCTCTACAATAAATCAAAAACCGGGCGTGGTAGCGCACTCCTGTAGTTCCAGCTCTTTGGAAGGCTGAGGTGGAAGGATCGCCAGAGCCCAGCAGGTCGAGGCTGCGGTGGCCGGAAGCGGCCACTGCACTCCAGTCGGGGCGACTGAGTGAGACTCCAACTCAAAAAAAAAAAAACAAAAACAAAAATCTGAAGGATGAGGCTACAGCCCCAAGACTGCACTGCCAGGGGGTCCCAACTTCAAAGGACACCAGCGGGGGTGGAAGGTGGGGGGGCATTTGGGAGGGGAACCCAATTTGTAGTGCTTGTCTTGGAGTAAATACTCCTACCAGAGCCAATTATAAACCACAAACATGATGTCCCTGAATACAGAGCTGGGAAGAAATGTGCACAAATCTGCTCTAGCCAGCAGGTAGAGCCAGCTTCAGCATGCCACTGCATCAGCTATGATTTGCCCGGGAATACTCTGGCAGCCATTGAAGGATGAATCTGACCACCCTCAGAGTCTTCTCCTTTCACAGAAAGCTGGAGAAGTTCCCAGAACTTAGCTGATCGTTTGCATAACCCTGTCATTTGAATAACCCTGTCATTTGCATAACCCTAATGTCTTCTTATTTATCCAGTTGGGTCACTAGCCTGGTAGATGAGAGGAATAGCAAAGACATGGGGTATCTGGTTTTCTGGGGGGGAGGGTCCTTAACAAAGTCTCTCAAAGACCTGTGAAATCAATGGACACTGTAAAGCGAATGTCCTAATCAAAGGATTTGTCACCAGGTAAACAATCATAACCAAAAAGTTGACTGCTGAACAATAGGTCAATGTCAAACCAGAGAAGAATGCCTCAGGCAGAATGTGATGCTCAACATTTGAATCAACATTTGGATGATGCGGTGCATGGTGGTGCACACCAGTAACCCCAGCACTTTGGGAGGCTGAGACAAGAGGATTGCCTGAGCCTAGAGGTTCGAGATCAGCCTGGGCAACTTGGCAAGACCTCATCTCTACAGCAAATCAAAAAATTAGCCAGATGTAGTGGTGCATGCCTGTGATTCCAGCTACCTGAAAGGCTGAGGCAGAAGGATTGCCTGAGCCCTGCAGGTTGAGGCTGTGGTAGCAGTGAGCACGCCATTGCACTCTAGCCTGGGCAACAGAGTGAAACTCCAACTAAAAAAAAAAATTTGGAAAAGATAGAGAAGACTTGCCAAATCTCTAAATGGAACAAAGCTAATTCATAGATGAGCCAAAGAAAAGATCTTCTTCTTCTTCTTTTTTTTTTTGAGTTGGAGTCTCACTCTGTCACCCAGACTGTAGTGCAGTGGCCGCTCCCGGCCACCGCAGCCTCGACCTGCTGGGCTCTGGCGATCCTTCCGCCTCAGCCTTCCGAGTAACTGGAGTTACAGGCACGTGCTACCACGCCCAGCTAATTTTTTGACTTTATTGTAGAGATGAGGTCTGGCCTGCCCAGGCGGGTCTCGAACCCGCGGGCTCAGGCAATCCACTCACCTCAGCCTCCCAAAGGCGCGGGATTACAGGCTGAGTCACCGAGCCCGGCTTTTTTTTTTAAGTTGGAGTCTCACTCTGTCGCCCAGGTTGGAGTGCAGTTGCACAATCAGTCACTGCAACTTTGACCTGCTGGGCTCAGGCAATCCTTCTGCCTCAGCCTTTCAAATAGCTGAATGACAGGCACATGCCACCATGCCCAGCTAATTTTTTTATTTATTGTAGAGATGAGGTTTTACCGAGTTGCCCAGGCTGGTCTTAAACCTGTGGACTCAGGAAATCCTCTAGCCTCAGCCTCCCAAAGTGTTGGGATTAAAGGCATGAGCAACCGCACCCAGCTGAAAGACATTTATTTATTTATTTATTGAGTTGGAGTCTCACTTGGTCACCCAGACTGGAGTGCAGTGGCCACTCCAGGCCACCGCAGCCTCCCCTGCCAGGCTCCAGCGATCCTTCCGCCTCAGCCTTCTGAGTAGCCAGAATTACAGGCATGCGCTACCACGCCCGGCTGATTTTTTCATTTATTGTAGAGATGAGGTCTCACTACCCAGGCAGGTCTCAAACCCGTGGGCTCAGGCAATCCACTCACCTCAGCCTCCCAAAGGCGCAGGATTACAGGCTGAGCCACTGAGCCCGGCTAAGACCTTTTTCTTAAAGCTACAATCATGCTTCATTATAAAATACTATAATGATTGCCAGTGGAAGGCAAGGATGGCTAATGTTGAGAAGGCAAGGGAAACATTCAATTAGCAAATTTAGAAAAAGAAATAGGCCAGGCTCGGTGGCTCAGCCTGTAATCCCAGCACTTTGGAAGGCCGAGGTGAGTGGATTGCCTGAGCCCGCGGGTTCAAGACCCGCCTGGCCAACTTGGCAAGACCTCATCTCTACAATAAATCAAAAATTAACCGGGCGTGGTAGCGCGCACCTATAGTTCCAGCTACTTGGAAGGCTGAGGCAGAAGGATCACCGGAGCCCAGCAGGTCGAGGCTGCAGTGGCCAGGAGCGGCCACTGCACTCCAGTCTGGGTGACAGAGTGAGATTCCAACTCAAAAAAAAAAAAAAACAACAAGAAAAAGAAATAAGTATCAGGAAGGAAGAAACAAACTGTATACTTAGAAAAAACCAAAAGAGTAATAATGTCTAACACTTCAACAAGGGTAAGCACCTAATAGCGCTGACAGTTGTAGACATTATGCTAAATGGATCACAAGCTCTGTTTATTTAAACTTCATCTGTTGGAATGAAAGTCTCCAAGAGCACAAGGACACTGTCCATCCTGCTCACTTCCATAATCTCAGAGACTGGGAGAATGTCTGACACATAGCAGATGCTTGTTCGTCACCATAGCCCAAAGCCTAGGACACTGTCAGGACAGGACACAGTCAGTGTTCAATAAATATTGGCTGAATAAATGCAACAACAGTTCAAAGCAGAAAGTATTATGATGAGTCCATTTCACAGATAAGAAAATTAAGGCTCAGAAAGATTAAATAACTAACCAAGGATGACAAGCTAGAACTGACACTTGAACTTGGATTGTCTGACTCAGCGCTTATGCTCTTATCCACTACTCTGTATTTCCTCCTCACTAAAAAAAAGTTAGAAATGATAAAGTGTTACAATATTAACACACAGAAACCTTTTGGTATAAAAATGCTAACCAGTCAGGCTCAGTGGCTCAGCCTGTAATTCCAGCACTTTGGGAGGCCAAGGTGAGTGGATTGTCTGAGCCCACAGGTTTGAGACCAGTCCAGGCAACTTAGAGAGACCTTGTCTCTACAATAAATCAAAAATTAGCCAGGTGTGGTAGCGTGCGCCTGTAGTTCCAGCTACTTGGAAGGCTGAGGCGGAAGGATCGCCGGAGCTCAGCAGGTCAAAGCTGTGGTGGCCGGGAGCGGCCACTGCACTCCAGTCTGGGCGACAGAGTAAGACTCCAACTCAAAAAAAAAAAAAAAAAGAATAATCTAAGGTATGATCAAAATGAGCTAATTATGAATAAGAAAGACATCCCCCCTACCACTAAGGAAATTCCATAGGTCTTAGAAGCTAGGATAGAAACTAGACAAAGACCAAATGCCAAACACCTCATCAATACCAGTTGGTCCCGCAACCTTGGATTCGACCAACTCAGGAAGGAATATATTCAGGGGAAAAAAAAAATCCCATAAAGTTCCAAAAAGCAAAACTTGTACTTGCCCTGTGCCAAGTACTACGTTGAATCCACAGGAATGAAGTGATGTGTAGGAATTGTATTAGGTATTATCAATAATCTAGAAATGATTTAAAGTGCACGGGAAGATGTACATAGGTTATATGCAAATACTATACCATTTTATATAAGGGTTGAACATCTTCAAAATTGGGTATCCAAGGGAGTTCTGGAACCAATCCCCTATAAATTCCAAGGGGCAATTATATATTTCATATTTATGTTTATAGTTTATATTTATATAAACTATATTTATAGTTCATATTTATATTCTCAATAGTGTAAAGATGTCAGTTTTCCCTAAAATATAATTTTTATATGAGCCTAATTAAAATACCTGCAGGATTTTTAATATAATGCATAAACTCTTTTAAATAATACATGAAATATAGTAAAATGTTACTAAATTTCTTCTTGAAAATAAACATGTCAGCCTCACCGGTAAAATTCTGAAAAATAATAATGAGAGTGAATCAATCCTATAGGTATTAAAACATATTATAAAAGTACAGTAATTCATCTGGGCACATGGCTCACACCAATAATCCCAGCACTTTGGGAGGCTGAGGCAAGAGAATCACCTGAGCCCAGGAGTTTGAGACCAGCCTAGACAACACAATGAGAAAACTAGTCAGTCTTGGAGGTACATGGCTGTAGTCCCAGCTACTAGAGAGGCTGAGGCAGAAGAATCTCCTGAGCCCACCAGGTCAAGGCGGCAGTGAGCTGTTATATGCCACTCAACAGAGCGAGACCCCGA